TTGGACCAACCGCCAGTTGCACTAACCGCCAGTTGCACCAACCGCCAGTTGCACTAACCGCCAGTTGGACCAACCGCCAGTTGCACTAACCGCCAGTTGCACCAACCGCCAGTTGCACTAACCGCCAGTTGGACCAACCGTCCCTTCCATGGCTGTGTCAAGCCCTCTTGCACGTCCGATCATTCGTTGCTTATTGAGCAGCGACTGGTGCAGCCGTGGACTCTACGGGAACAGAGGCAGCAATTTTTTGTTTAAGAGCTAACGTCGTTTGCTCAAGCCATCCCTTCTTCTCATTCAAAACAATAGACACCTGCTTGATGCTATTGACAATCTGATCGATCCGTTTTCTGAAATACTTTTTGTGTTCAGAATACTCACGCTCAATGTAATATCCAGCGCCAACATCGGCTACATATCTTCTTTTATTTAAGAGTTCTCCTTCTTGGTAAACTGATGCTGTCATGGGCACCAAAATGCTATTCGACTGAGCGTTGCATGTCTTGTCCATCGCCTCAATCGTTGACTCAAACCTTCTGTGTGCCGTAGCCAAGGCGTTGTACTGTGACTGTAGTACCTTGATTGTCTGCAACATTAGTCCTAGTGACCCAGTCCTAGTCCAAATACCCGGCCCTAATCCTAGTGACCCAGTCCTAGTCCAAGTGTTCGGGACCCAATCTTAATCTCGGTGTTCGGAACCCAATCTTAATCCCGGTGTTCGGAACCCAGTGTTCAGCTGTTCTGGTGCCAACTGTTCTGGTGCCAACTGTTCTGGTGCCAACTGTTCTGGTGCCAGCTATTGTGGTGTGATGTACCTGCTCCAGGTCCTGCCCTAGACCTGATAGTTGTTGCGGAGATAGTTTCGATAGGTCTACCACGTTCGCCTTGGGCTCTGACATTTTTAATTCAATTGTGCAAAAAGAGGCTAGTTTGGTTCGATATCTAAAAAGCCCGCCCACAAGCTGATACCAATCTTTCAACTCTATCGAAGGAGCGGGGTGGAATACAGTCTTTTCAGGGAGGAGAGAATGTGTTTGATTCGAACACTCAGCAGTTGGGTTGGGTGCTGAAGATGGTCGTAGTCCCCCCAGAGGGCGAGGAAGCCACTATCGGGACTAGTCTTAAACTACTCTACAGTTGTGAACTCTTCGCCGCGTCCGTTGCCTTTCCCGCACTTGCAATCCCAACCGTTCGTTGAGCGAACCGTTCGTCGAGCGAACCGTTCGTCGAGCGAACCGTTCGTCGAGCGAACCGTTCGTCGAGCGTAGTGCCTTGCAGCTAATTGTACCTTCCAGTACCTTGCGGCCCAAATGTACCTAGCCGCCCAAATGTACCTAGCACCGCAGATGTACCTGTTAGCTTCATTTCCCGCTCATGATTACACCCTGCACCGGCCGCACAGGTCGACTGCTACGGCGGCGCTTCACGCACAACTTGGATCCTGGGTTGTGCCACGGGGTCGATGTAGTTATGGCAGGTGTCGAACTTGACGGTGCGGTGTCGTCGCGAGTTGGAGTCGTCTCGCGGGTCTGAGGTACTGGGGTCTTCAGAGGCGGAGGGAGCGATGTCTTCAGACGGTCCAAGGGTTTTGGTTGACTGATCTGGTGGAACTCGGGGGTCGTCGAATTCAGGCTCAAGAAGTTCGAACCAGGCACGTCGCTCAGTGCCGCGCCCTCCAATGACTACGACCGACCGGAAGCTGCGGTATACACCACTGATGCCCGCTAGGTGCAGAGCGAAGAGAGCTGTATTGACCACACAAATCCGAGCCGTTTCGGCCCACAACCACTCCCCCGCCAGCCCCGTCGCCACGAACTTGATCGCCGTCGAAAGTGTCTCCACTAACAAGGCGACACTCACCGACGTGCTCGCCGTTTCCGCACAATGAATCACCCACAATCGGCGACTTGTAGCCGCCCCGATCCCGACCACTCCGTAAACCAAGTTAAACGAACCTACTGGGGGGTAGTACTGGTTCGGGGG